CTAAGTTCTATCACCCTTCTTTTTTAGATGCTCTAACCGCAGAGCACACTCTACCCACGTCCTTTTTCATCAACTTCCTTCAAAAACAGCACACGAACATCTCTATCCAGTACAAGACCTCTTACTTACCAACTATCAAGACAAGCCAAAGCTGAAACCTCCATATTATGGATACTGATCTTTTCCTCTGTACAGGGGGATCTATAGCCTCCCTGGAGCTTTTATCCTTCATCCTGTTATCCATCAGTACATGACTGCAATAAACACACTTGTTAATTCTTTGCGCAACTCAGTCAAACCATCTCTATATTTACATCATATCCTAACAGCAGACCCAAAGCCACAACAGCATCAGAAGACAAGTTTCTGAACGTCAACAGCTTGTGTAATAGGCGGCTCACAGGACAACAGCTTCAAGCACAGCTTAATAGTGGTTGCAGTAAGCAAGTCCCAGTTTCAACTGTGAAGAGAAGACTTCCAGTTGCAGGTTTGATGGGTCGAGTTGCAACAAGAAAGCCATTGCTGAGACTTGAGAATGAGAAAAAAAGGCTTGCCATGAAACACTGCTAGTGGGCTACTGATGACTGGAAGAAGGTGTAATGGACTGATGAATCAAAACTTGAAATCTTTGGTTCATCACACAGAATTTTTGTACACTGTCAAGTAGGTGAAAGGATGGTTCCTCACTGTCAAACATGGAGGAGGAAGTGTGATGGTACCACAGCATTCTGCAGCGCCATGCAGTACCCTCTGGGATGGGCCTAGTTGGTCAGGGGTTCATTCTACAGCTAGATAATGACCCAAAACATAAGTCCTAGCTATGCCAGAACTACCTTAAGAAAAAAGAACAAGATGGTAACCTTGAAAACATGGAGTAGCCAGCACAGTCTCCAGACTTCTTAAAGTGTCTTGATTGGAGATGTGGAGCAGGTGTGTCGTCTCACTCAGCCTCAGCGCCGTGGGAGGGGAGGAAGCTCTGAAAAAGAGTAAAGCCAGACAAGGCAAACAGGGAAACACAGGAAGTCCAGCCAAAATAAAACAGGATGAGGAGGCGTCTCACCACACTAAGATTATCTTAATTATCTTAAAATCTACGGCCCAGCGTGACCCCCAAAAGGACTGTAGCAACTCATAGTGTAATAATGGTTCATATTGTGATAAGGGCTCATAGTGTAATAAAAAAATGTAATAAAAACTCATAATGTAATAATCAGCTCATTACGTAAAAAAAAAGGAGCGCATAACGTAAATACAGATTTTTCATAATAATGACACTGACATGATACTGACATGGTACTGACCATGATCATAGTCAGGATCATGTCAGGATCATGTCAGTATCATGGTCAGAAAAATGTCAGTATCATGGTCAGAATCATGGTTAGCATCATGTCAGTGTCGTGGTCAGTATCATTGTCAGGAATATGGTCAGTATCATGTTAGTATCATGGTCTAGTGACAAGTCAGTATCATGTCAGTATCATGGTTAGTATCATGGTCAGTAAATTGTAAGAATCATGGTTAGTATCATGTTAGTATCATGGTCAGTATCATGTCAGTGTCATGGTCAGGAACATGTGAGTATCATGGACAGTATCATGGTTTTTATAATGGTTAGTAACATGTCAGTATCAGAGTCAGTATTATGGTTAGCCTGTGCCAGTATCATGGTCAGTATCATGTTAGAATCATGGTCAGTATCATGCCAGTGTCATGGTCAGTAACATGTCAGTATTTTATCAGTATCATGGTGTGTATCATGGTCAGTTACATGTCAGTGTCATGGTAAGTATCATGCCAGTGTCATGGTCAGTAACATGTCATTATCATATCAGTTTTATGGTTCGTATCATGTTAGAATCATGGTCAGTTACATGTCAATTACATGGTCAGTATCATGTTAGTTTCATGGTCAGTATCATGTTAGCATCATGGTCAGACACATGTCAGTGTCATGGTTAGTATCATGGTCAGAATTATTATAGTATCATGGACAGTATCCTGGTTTGTGTCATGGTCCGAAAAATGTCTCTATCATATCAGAATTATGGTTAGCATCATGTCAGTGTCATGGTCAGTATCATGTCAGTTTCGTGGTCAGTATCACTGTCAGGATCTTGGTCAGTATCATTTTAGTATCATGGTCAGACAAATGTCAGTATCATGGTCAGTATCATGTTAGTTTCATGGTCAGTATCATGTTAGTATCATGGACACTATCATGGTTTGTATCATGGTCCGAAACATGTCTGTATCATATCAGAATTATGGGTAGGATCATGTATGCATCATGGTCAGTAACGTATCAGTAACATGTCAGTTTTATGGTCAGTATAATGATTTAGTTCATGCCAGTATCGAGGTCAGTATCATGTTAGTATCATGGTCAGTAATATGCCAGTATCATGGTTAGTATCATGTCAGTGTCATGGTCAGGATCATGTCTTTATTGGGTCAGTATCATGTTAATGTCATGGTCAGGAACATGTCAGTATCATACTAGTATTATGGTTAGTATCATGGTAGGATCATGGTCAGTAACATGTCAGATTCATGGTCAGTATCATGCCAGAATCATGGTCAGTAACAGGTCATTATAATATCAGTATTATGGTAAGCATAATGATAGTATCATGGTCAGTAACATGTCACTATCATGGTCAGTATCATGTTAGCATCATGTTCAGTATCATGGTTAGTATCATGTTAGTATCATGGTTTGTATCATGTCAGTTTCATGGTCGGTTACATGTTAGTATCAAATCAATATGATGGTAAGCATCATGTTAGAATCATGGTCAGGAACATGTCAGTATCATGGCCAGTATCATGTTAGTATAAAGGTCAGAAACATTTAAGTATTATGGTCAGTATCATGGTTTTTATTACGTCAGTTTCATGGTCAGGGTCATGGCCAGGAACATGTTAGTATCATGGTTAGAATCATGTTAGTATCATGGTCAGTAACATGTCAGTGTCATGTAAGTATCATGGTTAGTATCATGTTGGTAACATGTCACTATCATGGTGAGTATCATGGACAGTATCATGTTCAATATCATGGTTAGCATCATGTCATTATCATGGTTTGTATCATATTAGTTCCATGGTCAGTTACATGTTTGTATCAAATCAGTATTATGGTTAACATCATGTTAGTATCATGGTCAGAAACATTTCAGTATCATGGCCAGTATCATGTTAGTATCATGTTAAAATCATGGTCAGTAACATGTCAGGATCATGGTCAGTATCGTGGTTAGTATCATGTCAGTGTCCTGGTCAGTATCATGTCCCTATTGAAGTCAGTATTATGTCAGGTTCATGGTCAGTATCATGGTCAGTATCATGTTAGTATTATGGTCAGAAACATGTCAGTATCATGGTCAGTATCATGGTTTGTATCATGTCAGTTTCGTGGTCAGTATCATATTAGCCTCATGGTCAGACACATGTCAGTATGAGGGTTAGTATCATGTTAGTATCATGGTAAGTATCATGTTAGTATCATGGACAGCATCATGGTTTGTATCATGGTACAAAACATATCTGTCTCATATCAGAATTATGGTTAGTATCATGTCAGTGTCATGGTCAGTAACATGTCAGTATTATATCAGTATTATGGTAAGTATCATGTCAGTTTTGTGGTCAGTATCACTGTCAGGATCTTGGTCAGTATCATGTTAGTATCATGGTCAGACACATGTCACTATCATGGTCAGTATCATGTTAGTATCATGTTCAGTATCATGGTTAGTATCATGTCATTATCATGGTTTGTACCATGGTCAGTAACATGTCAGTGTCATGTAAGTATCATTGTAAGTATCATGTTGGTTACATGTCACTATCATGGTGAGTATCATGGATAGTATCATGTTCAATATCATGGTTAGCATCATGTCATTATCATGGTTTGTATCATATTAGTTTCATGGTCAGTTACATGTTTGTATCAAATCAGTATTATGGTTAACATCATGTAAGTATCATGGTCAGAAACATTTCAGTATCATGGCCAGTATCATGTTAGTATCATGGTAAGTAACATGTCAGTATTTTTGTCAGTATCATGTTAGTATCATGTTAAGATCATGGTTAGTAACATGTCAGGATCATGGTCAGTATCGTGGTTAGTATCATGTCAGTGTCCTGGTCAGTATCATGTCCCTATTGTAGTCAGTATTATGTCAGGTTCATGGTCAGTAACATGTCAGTATCATGGTCAGTATCATGTTAGTATTATGGTCAGAAACATGTCAGTATCATGGTCAGTATCATGGTTTGTATCATGTCAGTTTCGTGGTCAGTATCACTGTCAGGATCTTGGTCAGTATCATATTAGCCTCATGGTCAGACACATGTCAGTATGAGGGTTAGTATCATGTTTGTATCATGGTAAGTATCATGGTTAGCATCATGTCATTATCATGGTTTGTATCATGTAAGTTTCATGGTCAGTTACATGTTTATATCAAATCAATATGATGGTAAGCATCATGTTGGTTTCATGGTCAGTAACATGTTAGTATCATGGCCAGAATCATGTTAGTATAATGGTCAGAAACATGTCAGTATCATGGTTTGTATCATGGTTAGTAACATGTCAGGATCATGGTCAGTATCGTGTTAGTATCATGGTCAGTAACATGTCAGTATTGTGGTCAGTATCATTGTTTTCATCAGGTCAGGATCATGGTCAGTAACATGTCATTATCATATCAGTATTATGGTTCGTATCATGTTAGTATCATGGTCAGTATCATGTCAATATCATGGCCAGTATCATGTTCGTATCATGGTCAGGAACATGTCAGTATTTTGGTCAGTATCATGTTAGTATCATGGTCAGTAACATGTTAGTGTCATGGTCAGTATAATGATTTAGTCCAATGCAGTATAATGGTCAGAAACATGTCATTATCATGGTCAGTAACATGTCAGTATTATATCAGTATTATGGTAAGTATCATGTCAGTTTTGTGGTCAGTATCACTGTCAGGATCTTGGTCAGTATCATGTTAGTATCATGGTCAGACACATGTCACTATCATGGTCAGTATCATGTTAGTATAATGGTCAGAAACATGTCAGTATCATGGTCAGTAACATGTCAGTATTATATCAGTATTATGGTAAGTATCATGTCAGTTTTGTGGTCAGTATCACTGTCAGGATCTTGGTCAGTATCATGTTAGTATCATGGTCAGACACATGTCACTATCATGGTCAGTATCATGATAGTATCATGTTCAGTATCATGGTTAGCATCATGTCATTATCATGGTTTGTATCATGTAAGTTTCATGGTCAGTTACATGTTTGTATCAAATCAATATGATGGTAAGCATCATGTTGGTTTCATGGTCAGTAACATGTCAGTATCATGGCCAGAATCATGTTAGTATAATGGTCAGAAACATGTCAGTATCATGGTTTGTATCATGGTTTGTATCATGGTGAGTAACATGTCAGGATCATGGTCAGTATCATGTTAGTATCATGGTCAGTAACATGTCAGAATTGTGGTCAGTATCATTGTTTTCATCAGGTCATTATCATATCAGTATTATGGTTCGTATCATGTTAGTATCATGTCAATATCATGGCCAGTATCATGTTAGTATCATGGTCAGGGACATGTCAGTTTTTTGGTCAGTATCATGTTAGTATTATGGTCAGTAACATGTCAGTGTCATGGTCAGTATAATGATTTAGTCCAATGCAGTATAATGATCAGAAACATGTCAGTATCATGGTCAGTAACATGTCAGTATTATATCAGTATTATGGTAAGTATCATGTCAGTTTTGTGGTCAGTATCACTGTCAGGATCTTGGTCAGTATCATGTTAGTATCATGGTCAGACACATGTCACTATCATGGTCAGTATCATGTTAGTATCATGTTCAGTATCATGGTTAGTATCATGTCATTATCATGGTTTGTATCATGTCAGTTTCATGGTCAGTTACATGTTTGTATCAAATCAATATGATGGTAAGCATCATGTTGATATCATGGTCAGTAACATGTAAGTATCATGGCCAGAATCATGTTAGTATAAGGGTCAGAAACATTTAAGTATTATGGTCAGTATCATGGTTTTTATTACGTCAGTTTCATGGTCAGGGTCATGGCCAGGAACATGTCAGTATCATGGTTAGAATCATGTTAGTATCATGGTCGGTAACATGTCAGTATCATGTTCAGTATCATGGTTAGTATCATGTCATTATCATGGTTTGTATCATGTTGGTTTCATGGTCAGTAACATGTCAGTATCATGGCCAGAATCATGTTAGTATAATGGTCAGTAACATGTAAGTATCATGTACAGTATCATGGTTTGTATCATGGTTAGTAACATGTCAGGATCATGGTCAGTATCATGTTAGTATCATGGTCAATAACATGTCAGAATTGTGGTCAGAATCATTGTTTTCATCAGGTCAGGATCATGGTCAGTAACATGTCATTATCATATCAGTATTATGGTTCGTATCATGTTAGTATCATGGTCAGTATCATGTCAATATCATGGACAGTATCATGTTAGTATCATGGTCAGGAACATGTCAGTATTTTGGTCAGTATCATGTTAGTATCATGGTCAGTAACATGTCAGTGTCATGGTCAGTATAATGATTTAGTCCAATGCAGTATCATGGTCAGTATCGTGTTAGTATCATGGTCAGTAACATGTCAAGATCATGGTCAGTATCATGTCCTTATCTTTGTCAGTATCAAGTCAGGATCATGGTCAGTAACATGTCCGTATCATATCAGTATTATGGTTAGTATCATGTTAGTGTGATGGTCAGAAACATAGCAGTATCATGGCCAGAATCATGTCAGTATGAAGGTCAGAAACATTTAATGATCAGTAACATATCATTATCATGTCAGTATGATGGGAAGGATCATGTTAGTATCATGGTCAGTACCATGTCAGTATCATGGCCAGTATCATTTAAGTATCATGGTAAGAAACATGTCAGTAATAAGGTCAGAATCATGGTTTTAATCATGTCAGTATCATGTTAGTATAATGGAGAGTATTATGGTTTGGATCATGGTCAGTACCATGTCAGTATCATGGCCAGTATCATGTTAGTATCATGGTAAGAAACATGTCAGTAATAAGGTCAGAATTATGGTTTTAATAATGTCAGTATCATGTTGGTACCATGGAGAGTATCATGGTTTGGATCATGGTCAGAAACATGTCTGTATCATATCAGTGTGATGGTTAGTATCATGTAAGTATCATGTTCAGTAGCATATCAGTAACATGTCAGCATCATGGTAAGTATCATGTCAGTGTCGTGGTCTGTATCATTGTCCTTTTCATGGTCAGTGTCATGTTAGTGTCATGGTTAGCAACATGTCAGTATTATATCAGTATTAGGGTTGGTATCATGTAAGTAACATGTCAGTATCATGTCAGTATTATGGTTAGTTTCATGTCAGCATCATGGTCAGGATCATGTTAGAATCATGGACAGTATCATGGTCTGTATAATGGTCAGAAACATGTCTGTATCATATCAGTATTATGGTTAGTATCATTTAAGAATCGTGGTCAGTAACATGTCAGTAACACCTCAGTGTCATGGTCAGTAACATGTCAGTATTAAATCAGAATAAGGGTTAGTATTATGTTAGTATCATGGTCAGTAACATGTCAGTATTATATGAGTATTATGGTTAGTATCACGTTAGTATCATGGTCTATATCATTGTCCTTATCATGGTCAGTATCATGCCAGTGTCATGGTCAGTAACATGTAATTATCAAATCAGTATTATGGTTAGTATCATGTCAGTGTCATGGTCAGAAAACATGTCAGTATCATGGACAGTATCATGTTAGTATCATGGTCAGGAACATGTCAGTATTTTGGTCAGTATCATGTTAGTATCATGGTCAGTAACATGTCAGTGTCATGGTCAGTATAATGATTTAGTCCAATGCAGTATCATGGTCAGTATCGTGTTAGTATCATGGTCAGTAACATGTCAAGATCATAGTCAGTATCATGTCCTTATCTTTGTCAGTATCAAGTCAGGATCATGGTCAGTAACATGTCCGTATCATATCAGTATTATGGTTAGTATCATGTTAGTGTGATGGTCAGAAACATAGCAGTATCATGGCCAGAATCATGTCAGTATGAAGGTCAGAAACATTTAATGATCAGTAACATATCATTATCATGTCAGTATGATGGGAAGGATCATGTTAGTATCATGGTCAGTACCATGTCAGTATCATGGCCAGTATCATTTAAGTATCATGGTAAGAAACATGTCAGTAATAAGGTCAGAATCATGGTTTTAATCATGTCAGTATCATGTTAGTATAATGGAGAGTATTATGGTTTGGATCATGGTCAGTACCATGTCAGTATCATGGCCAGTATCATGTTAGTATCATGGTAAGAAACATGTCAGTAATAAGGTCAGAATTATGGTTTTAATAATGTCAGTATCATGTTGGTACCATGGAGAGTATCATGGTTTGGATCATGGTCAGAAACATGTCTGTATCATATCAGTGTGATGGTTAGTATCATGTAAGTATCATGTTCAGTAGCATATCAGTAACATGTCAGCATCATGGTAAGTATCATGTCAGTGTCGTGGTCTGTATCATTGTCCTTTTCATGGTCAGTGTCATGTTAGTGTCATGGTTAGCAACATGTCAGTATTATATCAGTATTAGGGTTGGTATCATGTAAGTAACATGTCAGTATCATGTCAGTATTATGGTTAGTTTCATGTCAGCATCATGGTCAGGATCATGTTAGAATCATGGACAGTATCATGGTCTGTATAATGGTCAGAAACATGTCTGTATCATATCAGTATTATGGTTAGTATCATTTAAGAATCGTGGTCAGTAACATGTCAGTAACACCTCAGTGTCATGGTCAGTAACATGTCAGTATTAAATCAGAATAAGGGTTAGTATTATGTTAGTATCATGGTCAGTAACATGTCAGTATTATATGAGTATTATGGTTAGTATCACGTTAGTATCATGGTCTATATCATTGTCCTTATCATGGTCAGTATCATGCCAGTGTCATGGTCAGTAACATGTAATTATCAAATCAGTATTATGGTTAGTATCATGTCAGTGTCATGGTCAGAAAACATGTCAGTATCATGGTCAGTATCATGTCAGTGTCATGGTCAGTATCATATCAGTATCATGGTTAGTATCATGTTAGCATCATGATCAGTTACATGTAGGTGTCATGGTCAGTATCATGCCAATGTCATGGTCAGTAACATGTCAGTATCAAATCAGTATCATGGTTAGTATCATGTTAGTGTCGTGGTCTGAATAATTGTCCTTATCATGGTCAGTATCATGCCAGTGACATGGTCAGGATCATTGTTTGTATCATGGTCAGAAACATGTCTGTGTCATATCAGTATTATGGTTAGTACTATGTAAGTATCATGGTCAGAAACATGTCAGTAATATGTCCTTATCATGGTTAGTATCATGCCAGTGACATGGTCAGGATCATTGTTTGTATCATGGTCAGAAACATGTCAGTGTCATATCAGTATTATGGTTAGTACCATGTAAGTATCATGGTCAGAAACATGTCAGTAATATGTCAGTATCATGGCCAGTATCATGTCAGTGTCGTGGACTGTATCATTGTCCTCATCATGGTCAGTATCATGAGTGTCATGGTCAGTCACATATCAGTATTATATCAGTATTATGGTTAGTATCATGTTAGTATTGTGATCAGCAACATGTCAGTATCATGGTAAGAATCATGAATAGAATCATGTTAGTATCATGTTCAGAACCATGGTTAGTATCATGTCATTATCATGGTTTGTAACATGCTAGTTTCATGGTCAGTTACATGTTAGTTTAAAATCAGTATTATGGATAGCATCATGTTAGTATCATGGTCAGTAACATGTTAGTGTTAGATCAGTATAATTGGTTAGCATAATTTAAGTATCAGAGTCAGTAAAATGTCAGTATCATGGCCAGTATCATGTTAGTATCATGGTCAGAAAAATGTCAGAATTATGGTCATGGTCAGTATCATGTCAGTTTGGTGGTCAATATCATTGTCCGGATCATGGTCAGTATCATGCTAGTATAATGGTCAGTAACATGTCAGTATCATGTTCAGTATCATGCATATGTCATGGTCGGAATCATTTTACTTATCATGGTCAGAAACATGTCAGTAACATTTTATTATCATTGCCAGTATCATGTCAGTGTCGTGGTCTGTATCATTGTCCTCATCATGGTCAGTATCATGACAGTGTCATGGTCAGTAACATGTCAGTATTATATCAGTATTATGATTAGTATCATGTTAGTATTGTGATCAGTAACATGTCAGTATCATAGACAGTATCATGAATAGAATCATGTTAGTATCATGTTCAGTACCATGGTTAGTATCATGTCATTATCATGGCTTGTAACATGTTAGTTTCATGGTCAGATACAAGTTTGCATCAAATAAGTATTATGGATAGCATCATGTAAGTATCATGGTCAGAAACATGTTAGTATCAAATCAGTATAATTGGTTAGCATCATTTTAGTATCAGGGTCAGTAACATGTCAGTATTATGGCCAGTATCATATTAGTATCATGGTCAGAAAAATGTCAGAATTATGGTCATGGTTAGTATCATGTCAGTTTGGGTTCATATCATTGTCCGGATCTTTGTCAGTATCATGTTCGTATAATGGTCAGTAACATGTCAGAATCATCGTAAATATCATGTCAGTGTCGTTGTCAGTATCATTGTCCTTATCATGGTTAGTATCATGTTATTATCATGATCAGTAACATGTCAGTGTCATGGTCAGTATCATGCCATTGTCATGGTCAGTAACATGTCAGTGTCATGGTTAGTATCATGTCAGTGCCGTGGTCTGTATCATTGTCCTTATCATGGTCAGTATCATGATAGTGTAATGGTCAGTAACATGTCAGTAACATATCAGTATCATGGTTGGTACCATGTTAATGTCATGTTATTATCATGGTCAGCAACATGTCAGTGTCATAGTCAGTTTAATGATGTATTCCATGCCAGTGTCATGGTCAGTATCATGTTTGTACCATGGTCAGTAACATGTCAGTATCATTGTCAGTGTCATGGTTAGTATCATGTCAGTGTGGTGGTCAGCATCATGTCCTTATTGTGGTCAATATCATGTCAGTAATAAGTACAGAATCATGGTTTTTATCATGGTTTTTATCATGTTAGTATCATGGACAGTATCATGGTTTGTGTCATGGTCAGAAACATGTCAGTAATAAGGTCAGAATCATGTTTTTTATCAGGTCAGTATCATGTTAGTATCATGGACAGTATCATGTTTTTATCATGGTCAGAAACATGTCTGTATCACATCAGTATTATGGTTAGTATTATGCAAGAATCATGGTCAGAAACATGTCAGTTACATGTCAGTATCATGGTAAGTATCATGTCAGTGTTGTGGTCTGTATCATTGTCATTATCATGGTCAGTTACATGTCAGTATTATATCAGTATTATGGTTAGTATCATGTAAGTATAATGGTCAGAAAAATGTCGGTATAATGTCAATGTCATGGTCAGGAACATATCATTATCATGTCAGCATGATGGTTAGGATCATGTTAGTATCATGGTCAGCAACATGTCAGTATCATGTCCAGTATCATGTTAGTATCATGGTCAGATACATGTCAGTAATAAGGTCAGAATCATGGTTTTTATCATGTCAGTGTCATGTTACTATCATGGAATGTATCACGGTTCGTATCATGGTCAGAAACATGTCAGTAAAAAGGTCAGAATCATGTTTTTTATCATGTCAGTATCATGTCAGTATCATGGACAGTATCATGGTTTTTATCATGGTCAGAAACATGTCTGTATCACATCAGTATTATTGTTAGTATTATGCAAGTGTCATGGTCCGAAACATGTCAGTTACATGTCAGTATCATGGTAAGTATCATGTCAGTGTCGTGGTCTGTATCATTGTCCTTATTATGGTCAGTGTCATGTCAGTATTATGGTCAGTTACATGTCAGTATTATATCAGTATTAGGGTTAGTATCATGTAAGTAATATTTCAGTATCATGTCAGGACCATGGTTAGTATCATGTTAGTATCATGTTTGTATCATGGACAGGATCAGGGTTTGTATCATGGTCAGAAACATGTCTGTATCAGATCGGTATTATGGTTAGTATCATGTAAGAATCATGGTCAGTAACATGTCAGTAACATCTCAGTATCATTGTTATCATGTCAGTGTTGTGGTCTGTATCATTGTCCTTATCATGGTCAGTGTCATGTCAGTGTTATGGTCAGTTACATGTCAGTATTATATCAGTATTATGGTTAGTATCATATTAGTATAATGGTCAGAAAAATGACGGTATAATGTCAGTGTCATGGTCAATTACATGTCATTATTATATCAGTATTAGGGTTAGTATCATGTAAGTAATACTTCAGTATCATGTCAGGACCATGGTTAGTATCATGTTAGTATCATGGTCAGTATCATGTTTGTATCATGGACAGTATCCTGGTTTGTATCACAGTCAGAAACATGTCTGTATCAGATCGGTATTATGGTTAGTATCATGTAAGAATCATGGTCAGTAACATGTCAGTAACATCTCAGTATCATTGTTATCATGTCAGTGTTGTGGTCTGTATCATTGTCCTTATCATGGTCAGTGTCATGTCAGTGTCATGGTCAGTTACATGTCAGTATTATATCAGTATTATCATAATACTGACATGATAATGACATGTTCCTGACCATGACACTGACATTATACCGTCATTTTTCTGACCATTATACTAATATGATACTAACCATAATACTATTATGGTTAGTATCATATTAGTATAATGGTCAGAAAAATGACGGTATAATGTCAGTGTCATGGTCAGGAACATGTCATTATCATGTCAGTATGATAGTTAGGATCATGTTAGTATCATGGTCAGTAATATGTCAGTATCATGTCTAGTATCATGTTAGTATCATATTCGGAAACATGTCAGTAATAAGGTCAGAATCATGTTTTTTATCATGTCAGTATCATGTTAGTATCATGGACATTATCATGGTTTGTATCATGGTCAGAAACATGTCTGTATCACATCAGTATTATTGTCAGTATTATGCAAGTGTCATGGTCCGAAACATGTCAGTTACATGTCAGTATCATGGTAAGTATTATGTCAGTGTCGTGATCTGTATCATTGTCCTTATCATGGTCAGTGTCATGTCAGTATTATGGTCAGTTACATGTCAGTATTATATCAGTATTAGGGTTAGTATCATGTAAGTAATATTTCAGTATCATGTCAGGACCATGGTTAGTATCATGTTAGTATCATGGTCAGTACCATGGTTTGTATCATGGTCAGAAACATGTCTGTATCAGATCAGTATTATGGTTAGTGTCATGTCAGTAACATCTCAGTATCATTGTTAGTGTCATGTCAGTCCTGTGGTCTGTATCATTGTCCTTATCATGGTCAGAAACATGTCAGTATTAAATCAGTATAAGGGTTAGTATCATCTTAGTATCATGGTCAGTAACATGTTAGTATTATATCAGCATTATGGTAAGTATCACGTTAGTATCATGGTCTGTATCATTCCAGTGTCATGGTCAGTAACATGTGATTGTCATATCAGTTTTATGGTTAGTAACATGTCAGTATCATGGTAAGTATCATGTTAGTGTCATGGTCAGTAACATTTCAGTATCATGGTCAGTATCATGTCAGTGTCGTGGTCAGTATCATTGTCCTTATCATGGTTAGAATCATGTTAGTATCATGATCAGTTATATGTCAGTGTCATGGTCAGTATCATGCTTGTGTCATTGTCAGGAACATGTCAGTATCATATCAGTATCATGGTTCGTATCATATTAGGGTCGTGTTCTGGATCATTGTCCTAATCATGGTCAGTATCATGTCAGTGTAATGGTCAGTAACATAACAGTAGCATGTCAGTATCATGGTTAGTTTCATGTCAGCATCATGGTCAGTATCATGTTAGAATCATGGACAGTATCATAGTTTGTATCATGGTCAGAAACATGTCTTTATCATATCAGTATTATGGTTTGTATCATGTAAGAATCATGGTCAGTAACATCTCAGTAACATCTCAGTGTCATGGTTAGTATCATGTCAGTGCCGTGGTCTGTATCATTGTCCTAATCATGGTCAGTGTCATGGTCAGTAACATGTCAGTATTATATCAGTATAAGGGTTAGTATTATGTAAGTATTATTGGTCAGTAACATGTCAGTATTATATCAGTATTATGGAAAGTATCAAGTTAGTATCATGGTCTGTGTCATTGTCCTTATCATGGTCAGTATCATGCCAGTGTCATGGTCAGCAACATGTGATTATCATATCAGTATTATGGTTAGTATCATGTCAGTGTCATGGTCAGTAACAAGTCAGTATCATATCAGTGTCATGGTTAGTATGATGTTAGTGTCATGGTCAGTAACATGTCAGTATCATTGTCCTCATCATGGTAAGAATCATGTAAGTATCATGATCAGTAACATGTCAGTGTCATGGTCAGTATCATGTCAGTGTCATGGTCAGTAACATGTCAGTATCATATCAGTAACATGGTTCGTATCATATTAGGGTCGTGGTCTGGATCATTGTCCTAATCATGGTCAGTGTCATGTCAGTGTCATGGTCAGTAACATGTCAGTATTATATCGGTATTAGGGTTAGTATCATGTAAGTAACATGTCAGTAGCATGTCAGTATCATGGTTAGTTTCATGTCAGCATCATGGTCAGTATCATGTTAGAATCATGGACAGTTTCATGGTTTGTATCATGATCAGAAACATGTCTGTATGGTATCAGTATTATGGTTTGTATCATGTAAGAATCATGGTCGGTACATCTCAGTAACATCTCAGTGTCATGGTTAGTGTCATGTCAGTCCTGTGGTCTGTATAATTGTCCTAATCATGGACAGTGTCATGGTCAGTAAAATGTTGGTATTATATCAGTATAAGGGTTAGTATTATGTAAGTATCATGTCAGTGTCGTGGTCAGTATCATTGTCCTTATCATGTCAGTATCATGTTAGAATCATTATCAGTAATATATCAGTGTCATGGTCAGAATCATGCCAGTGTCATGGTCAGGATCATATCAGTATCATGGTTTGTATCATGTTAGTGTTGTGGTCTGAATCATTGTCCTTATCATGGTAAGTATCATGTCAGTGTCATGGTCAGTAACATGTCAGTATTATATCAGTATTAGGGTTAGTATCATGTAAGTAACATGTCAGTATCATGGTTTGTATCATGGTCAGAAACATGTCTGTATCATTTAAGTATTATGTTAGTATCATGCAAGAATCATGGTCAGTTACATGTCAGTAACATTCAGTGTCATGGTTAGTATCATGTCAGTGCCGTGGTCTGTATCATTGCCCTTATCATGGTCAGTGTCATGGTCAGTAACATGTCAGTATTATATCAGTATTATGGTTAGTATCACGTTAGTATCATGGTCTGTATCATTGTCCTTATCATGGTCAGTATCATGCCAGTGTCATGGTCAGCAACATGTGATTATCATATCAGTATTATGGTTAGTATCATGTCAGTGTCATGGTTAGTATCATGTTAGAATCATGGACAGTATCATGGTTTGTATCATGGTCAGAAACATGTCTGTATCATTTAAGTATTATGTTAGTATCATGCAAGAATCATGGTCAGTTACATGTCAGTAACATTCAGTGTCATGGTTAGTATCATGTCAGTGCCGTGGTCTGTATCATTGCCCTTATCACGGTCAGTGTCATGGTCAGTAACATGTCAGTATTATATCAGTATTATGGTTAGTATCACGTTAGTATCATGGTCTGTATCAATGTCCTTATCATGGTCAGTATCATGCCAGTGTCATGGTCAGCAACATGTGATTATCATATCAGTATTATGGTTAGTATCATGTCAGTGTCATGGTCAGTAACAAGTCAGTATCATATCAGTATCATGGTTAGTATCATGTTAGTGTCATGGTCAGTAACATGTCAGTATCATGGTCAGTTTCATTGTCCTTATCATGGTTAAAATCGTGTTAGTATCATGATCAGTAACATGTCAGTGTCATGGTCAGTATCATGCTTGTGTCATGGTCAGGAACATGTCAGTATCATATCAGTATCATGGTTCGTATCATATTAGGGTCGTGGTCTGGATCATTGTCCTAATCATGGTCAGTATCATGTCAGTGTCATGGTCAGTCACATGTCAGTATTATATCGGTATTAGGGTTAGTATCATGTAAGTAACATGTCAGTAGCATGTCCGTATCATGGTTCGTTTCATGTCAGCATGATGGTCAGTATCATGGTCAGAAACATGTCCGTATCATATCAGTATTATGGTTAGTATCATGTAAGAATCATGGTCACTAACATCTCAGTGTCATGGTAAGTATCATGTCAGTGCCGTGGTCTGTATCATTGTCCTTATCATGGTCAGTGTCATGGTCAGTAACATGTCAGTATTATATCAGTATTATGGTTAGTATCACGTTAGTATCATGGTCTGTATCATTGTCCTTATCATGGTCAGTATCATGCCAGTGTCATGGTCAGTTACAAGTCAGTATCATGTCAGTATCATGTTTAGTATCATGTTAGTGTCATGGTCAGTAACATGTCAGTATCATGGTCAGTATCATTGTCCTTATCATGGTTAGAATCATGTTAGTGCCATGATCAGTAACATGTCAGTGTCATGGTCAGGAACAAGTCAGTATCATATCAGTATCATGGTTAGTATCATGTAAATGTCATGGTCAGGAACATGTCAGTATCTTATCAGTATCATGGTTCGTATCATATTAGGGTCGTGGTCTGGATCATTGTCCTAATCATGGTCAGCATCATGTCAGTGTCATGGTCAGTAACATGTAAGTATTATATCAGTATTAGGGTTAGTATCATGTAAGTAACATGTCAGTAGCATGTCAGTATCATGGTTCGTTTCATGTCAGCATCATGGTCAGCATCATGGTCATTAAAATGTCCGTATTATATCAGTAGAAGGGTTAGTATTATGTTAGTATCATGTCAGTGCCGTGGTCTGTATCATTGTCCTTATCATGGTCAGTGTCATGGTCATTAAAATGTTGGTATTATATCAGTAGAAGGGTTAGTATTATGTAAGTATCATGTCCTTATCGTGGTCAGTATCATGTCAGTGTCATGGTCAGCAACATGTCAGTTTCATATCAGTATAATGGTAAGTATAATGTTAGTATCTTGGTCAGTAACATGTCAGTGTCATGGTCAGTATCATGGTTAGTATCATGTCATTATCATGGTTTGTATCATGTTAGTTTCATGGTCCGTAACATGTTAGTATCAAATCATTATTATGGTTAGCATCATGTCAGTGTAATGGTCGGAAACATGTCAGTATTATATCAGTATTATGGTATGTTTCATGTAAGTAACATGTCAGTAGCATGTCAGTATCATGGTTAGTTTCATGTCAGCATCATGGTCAGTATCATGTTAGAATCATGGACAGTATCATGGTTTGTATCATGGTCAGAAACATGTCTGTATCATATAAATATTATGTTAGTATCATGCAAGAATCATGGTCAGTTACATGTCAGTAACATTTCAGTGTCATGGTTAGTATCATGTCACTGCCGTGGTCTGTATCATTGTCCTTATCATGGTCAGTAAAATGTTGGTATTATATCAGTATAAGGGTAAGTATTATGTAAGTATCATGTCAGTGTCGTGGTCAGTATCATTGTCCTTATCATGTCAGTATCATGTTAGAATCATTATCAGTAACATATCAGTGTCATATACAGAATCATGCCAGTGTCATGGTCAGGATCATATCAG